ACAGAGGAAGACAATGCAGCCACTCCTGATGAGACCTGATATACTAGGGTCAGAAGGAAGGAGAGGAGGACCTCCCCTATCCGTGGACTTGGGGAGGGACATGGGTGGAGAAGGGGGAAGGAGGGTGGGATTGGTAGGGTAGGAGGGAGGGAGCTACAGGAGATACAAGGTGAATAAACTGTAATTAATAAAAATAAAATAAAATGAAATAAAATAAAATCACACTTTTCTTTGTAGCTAAGCATTCCTCTCTGTGGCTACCATCTTCTTGTAAAACATAGTGAATGCTGCATGTGTGAACTGAAGGAACCCACTGAGGAAAGCGTTATTAAAACTCTGTAAATCAAGCTACATTCCTTTTGGCCCTCTATTGCAAATTCTTCACATGTTAATATCATTCATTTATCACATTTGCTTGTCTCCTTATGATCATGTAGTAAAAGACAATTACATAAGCGCCAAATACATCCGTGCCAAGGAATGTTCTAAACGCCTGTTTTGTCAATAGTTTAAAGTTTTCTTAATTTTATTAAGAAATAAACTGTCTTTGAAACTGAAGCTTTTTTTTTTTTTTTTTTTGCTTATACTCTTTTGGAGAATTTTGGAACTCAAGAAATATGATCCCTAGTATTTGATAATTAGAAACAATGACATAAGTATGGCTACAATCAACTGTTAGTAAAATAAAGTTTTTATAACATAAGAGTTCAGTTCCTGATCCTGATATTCCCTGGAGCATAGCTAAAGACTTATGTAAGAACATGAAATTTATACTGAAAAACATCCTTACTTGTTCTCAGGGAAGTTTCATGACATGTTGAAAGGTCTGAATAAACAAAACTTTAATGAAGTTTTTCCACTTAGTAGATAGTTGATTACTTTGTTTTGACTGTTGCACTCAGTCTAATTTCACAGCAGTTTTTGTTGTTGTTCCAAATAGGCATATGTGTGCAGTTTGGCAGTTCCTACCTTAAAGGTGCAGACTATGTGATGAACTATCTCTTAGAAACAAAGTAAACAGAACTGCATGGAATGGTGATTGAGTGGACAATGTGTTAAAATCAAGCTCAAATTCATCTACACTTCATGAAAACACTCTTAAAACTTGTATGCTATTTGGGCATCTCTTTCTCCATCTGTCACGGAAGGATTATTAGTAAATATAACGCTATTAAAATTAGTTTTTATTGTTATTTATATCAGTCTGTATATGTGTGCTCCACATGAGTGCAGGGCCTGTGAAGGCCGGAAGAAGGCATCAGATCCCCTGGACCTGAACATTCCTACAATGGAACATACTTAATAGAGTTTGGAGAGATGGCTCAGTGATTAAAAGCACTCACTGCACTTCCGAATGTCTTGAGTTAATTCTGAGCACCCACATGGCAGCTCATAAATATCTGATCCCATCTTCTGTGTGCAAATGCAATCCACTTAATATGGGTGCTGGGAACCAAAACTTAGGTCCTCTGTAAGAGCAGCAAATATTCTTAGCCACTGAGCCAACTCTCCAGCTGCCCCAAATACAATGTTTTTACAAGTGATAAATAAATAATAATCAAGTATTTACAAAAGAAGGGCATAAAGGAACATAGAAATAAACATACTAGCTATAATTATCTGTCTGGATATGATCTTAACTTAGCTACAAATGTTTTATAGAAAATGCCCAAAAATTGCTCTTTAAATTATTCTCTCCTGTGTATCTGAGGTTCAAATCATTCCAAGGTGCCGAGTGAGTCCAGGTCTTCTTCCTGTGTCCCCCATTCCTTGGAGCAACAGAGCTTCCAAGCAATATCTGTCTCATGTCTATATCATAAGCATAAGATAATAACCCTCAAAAAGCATGCACAGTCCCAATTTGTACTATGTCATATCAGCTACCATCTTATTGGCCAAAGCAAGTATCATGGCCAAGCTCAAAGTCAGGACGCAAGAAATTGTCACCAGTAGAAATGCAAGGGATGAGTAAATAATTTAAATAACATTTGAATCCCTGCAAATCTCCAAGAACCTCCATAGATTTAATTGTGTTCATAATTACAATTTATACTCACGTTTTAAAACAGGAGCAGGGACCAGGGATACATTTTAAAGAACTCTAATGAGGGTGAAAAGAACAGATTTGGAAAACACTTAAGAGACTTTACCTAGCTGGATAAGCCCCCTGTCTCCTGACTCCCAGCATTCCAAACCACTTACAACGACTAAATCAACTAGGTATGCTTAACTTTGCTAAAGTCATTTCCATAAAGGACAAGGGCAAAAATGTAGACTGTGGAAACTGAAAAAAATATACACAATAAAATTTACATCATGGTTCTCTTTTCTTTGCTGTAGGTCTTTGAGATATCAGTGCCTCTGACATCAGTGCCTGAGTTGGTGCCCATTAAAATTGCCAACCACACGGGTTGTAAGTGCTTGCCCACGGTCCCCCACTATCCCTACTCAATTATCAGAAGATCCATTCAGATCCCAGAAGAAGATCAGTAAGTATTTCCTGGACTTGATAATGTCTGTTCTTGCTGTTGTACAACTGTTGTACATTCCTTTAGTTATTATAGAGGCATCCCCAGAAAGACATGTATTGCGTGTTTTCTATCTTATGGAACATTAAAAAAAAAGTCATGAAAGTAGAGGAGAAAATTATAGGGGAAAAGAAGATGAAAAGGAGAGGGCAGAGAGAAGAGAGGGTAAAAGTGCAGGTGAACTGTATTTTAGGTGTGAACAAATATTACTCCCTTCTTTTCATTAAAAATTTTCATTTCTGGCTTCAAAACCACACCTACTCAGAGTATACTTTTTTTCTGGTTTATTTGAGACAGGTCTCTTGCTGACCTGGAACTTGCTCTGTAGACCAGGCTGGGCTCAAACTCACAAAGATCCACCTGCTTCTGCCTCCTGAGTACTGGGATTAAAGGAGTGTGCCACTACCACCCGGCTTCAAACATATGCTATATCTATATTGCAGTAGGACCTCAAACCTTGATGGTTATGAACACAACATGTTTACTTACAGACACCTTTGGGTTTTTTTGTATGTGATTTTTGTATGTTTGGTTTTGCTTTTGATTTTTTTAGATAGGATCTCACTTTGTAAGCTCTGGCTAGCCTGAAACTCCCTATGTAGACCAGGCTGCCTTTGAACCCTCAGAGATCCAAACATCAGTCTCTTGAGTGCTGGGATTAAAGATATGCAGCTACATTGGCCCAACACCTTTGTTCTTTATATATTTTTAAGTATAATTTTTTATTTATTCATTTTATATTCCAGTTGTAATCCCTTCCCTCTTCTCTTCCTGGTCCCACCCTCCCTCTATGTTTATCCTATCCCCCCTTCCCTATTCCTCAGAGAAGCAGAACCCCTCCTATCCAACCCACCCCAGCATAACGAGTCACATCAGGACTGACTGCATTCTCTTCCCCTGTGGCCTGGTGAGGTAGCCCACATGGGGTAAGTGATAGAAAAACAGGCAACAGAGTCCATGTCAGAGTCAGTCCCCATCCCCCTTACTAAGGGAAGTTGCCCTTCGGCTACATCTGTGTAGGAGGCCTAGGTCTAGTCCCCCAGCTATTTAAAACAAGGAAGGAAAGAAATTTGCAGATAAATGGATGAAACTAGGAAAGATCCTTCTGAGTGAAGTAACCCAGACCCAGAAAGACACACATTGTATATACTCACTTATAAGCAGGTTTTAGCCATATAGTACAGGACAATCATACTACAACTCACAGACCCAAAGACGATAAGTAACAAGGAAGACCCAAAAGAGGAAGGATGCTTAACTCCTACTCAGAAGTAGAAACAGAATAGACAGAGGAAGTGGTTGAAGAGAGGGAACAGGGTAAGAGAAGGAACATGGAGAGAAATGAGGGATGGTATCAGACCTGGGAAGATCAGGAGTGGGAAGGCAGGTTTCTCTTCTTTCTGAAAGAGAGCAGGTGAGGACTTCTCTGCCACCAGCTGGAGACCTACAACAGGGTAGGCTCCTGGGAGGCTATGAAGGTGACTCTAGCTGAGACTTCTAGTAACAGAGGTCATGGAGACTGAAGCGGCCACCTTCTAACTAAACACCTTTGTTCTTAACACGAGTTGTTGAATGCATTGTAACACTGCTCCAGCCTCAAAGCTACCTTGTGTTACCTCACTCCAGAGCAAGCAGTGAGTCTCATAAATTCAAGTTTAGTTTCTAAATGTTCCCTAATAGAATATTTATAGATATAGAATCACTGATGTCTTTCCTAAATATAAATTAAGCTCTACTTTTTACTTTGTTTATGTTTATGTCTGTGTATGCATATATGTGGGTTGGTGCACACACCATTGACATCCAGAAGAAGGTGCTGGAGTATTTAGAGGTGGAATTATAAATGGTTGTGTGCTGACCCATGTGGGTGATGGGAACCAAACTCAAGTCCCATGGAAGAACAGTAGTCCATGCTGTGTGACCCATTGATCTCAAAACAGTTATTCTCCTCCATCACTTTTAGAAACAAATTTTGAAAAGTACTAGCATGCTCCACAGAGAATGTTTAGATTATTAGGTATTAAATATTAAGAATGACTTAATATTCCCAAAGTTTAATTACCCTGAAAAACTTTTCAATCTGGTTCATTCCTTTCTTTTCCTAGATGTTCTCATTCCAAGAAACTCTGTCCTATTGACATGCTGTGGGATAACACCCAATGTAAATGTGTTTTACAAGATGAGAATCCACTCCCCGAAACAGAAGGTAATGATGGCAGTAGTGAAATGATAGCCTCAGTGATAAACAGGGCACAGCACTTGACATGACTGAGCACTTACTGTGACCAGCTGCATTAGTTCCCTTTCCGTTGTTGGGATAAATTATCATGATCAAAAGCAATTTCAAGAAGAAAAAGTATATTTTGACTTATGGTTCCAGGGTAATAGAGTCCATGTTGGTGGGGAAGCTATAAGAGCAGGCAGGTATGGTGTCTGTAGCAGAAAACTGGCTGATCGCTTGTCTGCACACAGAGAGCAAAAAGAAAACAGGAAGTGGGCTGAGGCTATAAATCACCAAACCCTACCTCTAGTGATAGATATACTTCCTCCAGAAAGGTATGGCTTCCTAAGGGTTCCATAACCTCCCCATACAAAAGCCACCAACTGGGATCAAGTGTTCAAATACTTTCACCAAAAGAGGGGACATTTCTCATTCAAGGCACAGCACCAGAGAGTGTTGTAATTTTCGTGACAACCCTATGATCACACCTCTTCATAAGCACACAGTGTCCACTCTGATATAACTAGTAATTTCCTCACCATCACACAGGTAACAGTGGCAGAAGTGTTTGGATTCTAGAGCCTTCTCTGTTGTGAACATATGCATCAATGAATTGCTCTGTTGTTCATTCTTAAAGAAAAGTACAAAGTGGGCAAGCCACCCTAAAGCAAGTGTTAAACGGTAATGAAAACTATTTCAGGGTGACACACACAGGTCATTTGGAACTTGGTTTCTTTCAAATGCACCATTTGAAAGCAAGGCAATAATCTGGAAAAAAATACTGGAAGGGAGGAGAACACAGGGAAACATTTTTTGAGAACTAGAGCAAACCATTCTACCAAGCTAAAACACACAGGGAATTGCTAGCCTGTCATTCATTCTCACAGTCACTAAAGCTGTGAATCCTAGGATAAACATATGGCTGAACATGCATAAGGTTTTATTTACTCTCCCTAACACGTGACATGGTTCCACAGAAAATTATCACAAGAGATCATGCAATGTGAGTATTGCTTGTTTTAAACAGTGATCTCCTAGCAAAGATTCAAACCCATGGAATCTGTCATTCAAATGAAATAGCAAGCTATTATTGATGTTGTCCTGTTGTTCTGGTTCTCAGTACCTTTCCAAAGTTTCTCTAAGAGCTCAAACTACGATGTGAGATAATATATTTTTAAATTTATATAGTCAAAGGCTTACACATATAGTTTGCACAGAGACACACTATAGCAAAGGGTGACAATTGAGGCAGCATGCCACAATGCAATTGCTAAAACATTATTAGCCAACCCTTCATGGAGTTGAAGCCAAGGAGCTCCCTTGGGGGACACCTCCAATAAGCAGGTTAGACTCTACAGACTTAGAGAGGGTTATAACCTGGGGTGAGGCATCTTCTTTCCAAGGGAGGTTAATTCCACGGGAGGACTCATTTAGGCTTGTGTACTGAGGATGGAAGGTCTTGTAAGGAAGGAGAGATGTGCTCTGAGCAGAAGACTGTAAGTGCTCAGGGCTGAAGTGAGAGAGCAAAACATAAATACGGTGATGGAAAATATTGCAGAGTGGTGAGGTGTATTGGTTATTTTTTTAGGTACTGTAACAAAATATTTGACAAAAGCGATGAGGAAGGAAAGAAGGAAGGAAGAAAGGAAAGAAAGAAGGAAGAAAGGAAAGAAAGAAGGAAGAAAGGAAGAAAGAAATGAAGGAAGGAAGAAAACAAAGGAGGAAAGGGAAGGGAAGGTAGGGGAAGACAGGATGGGCCTTTTTTTATTTTTGCTTTAACAGGGAACAGTCCTTCATGATGGGGATGACTTGGCAGAAAGAGCAGGAGAGGTCTGATCACACTGTGTCCCCAGCCAGGAAGCAGAGACTGATGCTCCTGCGCATCAGCCTGTCCTGTTCTTCCCGCTCCTCGTATTCAGTCTTCGTGCCCAGCTCACCTTTACAGTGAGTTGTCCCCAGTTAAACCTCTCTGGTAGTGTCATAGGCACACCCAAGGGTGTATTTACTGGGTGGTTCTTGAAACCAGTAAAGTCAACAATGAAGATTAACCATATCATGCGAACACATACCTACTGAGGGGGGAAGTTTGATATGAGGAGATGAAGCAGGGGAAACTAGTAGTATTGGAGTGGCAGTACTTAGTAAGTTCTGAAAGAGCCTGGGTGTGATCTTTTGGACAAATGGAAACCACCCAAGTGGTTCAAGAAAGAGAAGAGTAACAACCCATTGGAATTGTAGAAAGCTCAAGCCAGTAACAGTGTAGAAGAGAACTAGTTGACCTGAGCAGAGGACAGGGAGCAGGGAACCTTTGGAGGAGGCTGTGACAATAGTGGAAGTGAGGAAGGAGGGTGGGCTGCATCTCAGTTACTTCTAGTTTTCATCACTCATACCATCCTTGTGTGCCCAAGTTCCCATCTGCTTCTCCAGTGGTCCCATTCTCCTGATGACACATTACTTTCTGTGCACTAAACACCCTTTCTGTGTACAAAGTTGTTGAGCTAATTGCCTTGTGTACAGTCATTTATTCTCCAGAATTCGGTTGATGCAAGTCCAGTTCATTTTTGTATCGATGCAAGAATGAATAAAAGTGAACAGAACAAGGCTGAGGACAGAATGCACTGATAACCCAGAATCAACCTCCCTAGGGATGTCAGGGTGTCAGCCTCAACTACTTGCTCTTTGACTTCTCCTGCATCCAATCTCGCTTTGCTTCAATTTGCTTGTAAGGACATGTGTTCTGCTTCTGCCACATAATCTGCTGAACCTCTCAGGATTGTGTTTGCTTAAAGTTTGCAAGAATGGTGCCAGGATGGTTTTCTTATGAGTCTCTGCTACCACCTAGTGCTCAATATGAACCTTTTAAGAGTCAGTTGTTTTCCAGTAATCTAGCCTTGTCTTGCTGTAAATTGGCATTTGCTTCGGTGACTAATAGCATATGCAGCTCATCTTTTTCTGCTTTATGAGATTCAGAATGGAATCCTTGTGAACATCCAATCCACATAGTTTCTAAATATTTGTCAATTAAAGAGCAGTCAAAAACATGAGACTGGATCATGAGAAATTGCCATTTTGGGGTGAGGTGGGGGAGAAAAAAAAGGAGGAAAGGAGGGATGAGAAAGGGTATGGGAGGATTTTAGGGTCCATATCATGGGAATTTTTTTTATGTTTACATATCCTGGTGTAAAATTTAGCCTTTTTGTGTGTGAAGAGAAGACTTTAAAGTATGGCTGGGCTTGGTAACTCACATCTTTAATCACAGCACTCAGGAGGCAGAGACAGGTGGATCTCTATGAGTTCAAGGCCAGTCTGGCCTACCTAGAAGGTTTCAGGACAGCCAGGATTTCATAGTAAAATCCTGTCTCAATTAAGCTTCAGTGGTGATGGAATCAGGTTTGTATTTGATAGCCACATGAGGGCGGACTGCAGGCATACACACTGTGTCTGTGAGATGAGCGACAGCCATCAACATAAGAAATACAAGGTACTGAGCAAATTGTGAAACAGGCAGTGTGATGGAGATGAGAGGGTGTGAAAAAGGGACCAAGTGGAAACAGTGACCACACAGTCTAGTGGACAATGGTGCTAGTTTCCAAATGAGGCAAACTGGGAAAGAGGTACGTTTTGGAAAGAGATATTTATTCCTTTTCTTCCCAAACCTTCACGAGTTCTGAGATGCAAAGTACAAGTTCTTCCACAATTGTCTCTTTTTCCATTTGTTGTTTGCTTTTGCAAACACATAAGACAGGCTCTTATGTGTTCCAGCCTAGCCTTAAATTCAATACTAAGCAGAGGATAACCCTGAACTTTTGATCATTCCACTTCTACCTCTGGAGTTGGGGCTAGGATTACAGTCATGTGTCACCCAGTTTAGGAATCAGTCATTGAAGATTGAGCCCAGAACTTCTCATGAACTCTACGCAAGCATTCTACCAGTGGAGCCACACTCCCAGCCCATCTCTTATTAATTTTACAATGTATTTCAATTCACTGATTGAGACTGGACCACAGTTTATTGTCACCTATATGTTTCATACAAGTGGTGTTATCTGAGATGAGGAAATGCATCATTGGTTGTCTGGAAGTTCTGAGGAAAATATTTCTACAACATCATTACATCTGGTTCCTGCTCTTCTAAAACACTAGGAGGGAGGCTATATCATTCATACCCTATGGACAGCCTATGTCTTGTTACTACTGGCTGGTTGCAGAAATAGATGTATGTATGTATGTATGTATATGTGTATGTGTGTATATATATGTATGTATATGTATGTCTGTAGTTAAAGATCTATTTATTTTTTAATTTATGTGTATGAGTGTCTCGTCTGCATTGTTTTTACATAGTGTGCATGTACTGCCCATGCAGTTCAGAAGAGGGCAAGAGACCCTTTGGGATTGCAGTTATAGGCAGTTTTAACTGGCCACGTGGGTGTTGAGAACCAAACATCTGGGTCTTTTGTTAGAGCAGGGAGTTCTCTTAACCCTTGCACCATCTCTCCAGCACAGAAGTTTATATTATTAACAGGTCCATTACCAACATAAACATCTGTCTGAAATGTTCAGCTTATGGTATTTTTTATTTAAATCCTAAGATACATGAGTTCTATGTTTATGCTATGAAATCACAGAAGGATCTCTTTCACGCCATGAAAAAAAAAATTAAGGTAAAAAAATCTATAGGTGAGGAGATCAGAAGGATCCAAGTTTTATAGGAAAGATGTGGAACTTGAAATTAATTTGGATTATCACATTCTCCAGTTGCCATACCAACACTTCCCTGTTTCTGTTTAGACCACTCTTACCTCCAGGAACCAGCTCTCTGTGGACCACACATGAAGTTTGATGAAGATCGTTGTGAGTGTGTCTGTAAAACACCATGTCCCAGAGATCTCATTCAGCACCCAGAAAACTGCAGTTGCTTTGAATGCAAAGAAAGTCTGGAAAGCTGCTGCCAAAAGCACAAGATTTTTCACCCAGACACCTGCAGGTCAATGGTCTTTTCACTTTCCCCTTAACGTGGTTTACTGGTGACACTTAAAGAACATACTAATCTAAGTCGGTGGGGCTCTTTTCCTCAGTGCCCGAGTATACCTTTACAAAAAAAAAAAAGAAAAGAAACAGTTTGGCATCTAAGAAATAAGAGGCAGTGTATATAGTGAAGATTAAATTGTTTTGTTGTTTCAAAACAGGGTCTCATGAATTACAGACCTGAACCATCATTTCTGCTGTTACACTTTCATAAGTGAAAAGGAAATCAGTAACATTTGAACAACTGGGTTAAGGGGAGGTTCCGATTATCTAGCTAATTCTCCCTCTGTCTCTGTCTTTCCCTCTCTCCCTCTCTCCTCTCTCTCTGTCTCTCTTTCTCTCTCTGTGTGTATGTTTTCTTGAAGAAGAAGATATCACTAGATTTGTGTAGGTAAGAAACTTAAGGATGATTATAACCTGGGAGGCCATTGGTTGAGCTTTGATCAATTTTAAAACCTACCCAAACTAACCACTGAGGTTTTAATTAAATTTGTTCTTTGACAATTTCATACACATATAAAATACATTCTGATTACCCCTATAATCTCTTAACTCCAGCCTACTCCTGTGAACCAATTTCCTCCTTCCAAGACCTTTTTCCCACATTCATGTCTTTTTGTTTTGTCTTGTGACCCACTAAAAACAGCTGAGGCTTTTTGTGTGACCATAGGTTTGGAACTGTCAAAGCTTGTTTGGTTTCACCCACCAAAAGGTCCACAACTGAAGACAGTGACTCCCTTGTTCTCCAGAGTCCATCAGTGGCCCAGAGCTCACCAAGGAGGGGTAGGGCACCCTGAGCCCTTCCCAAATGCATAAGTAACTGCTGAGAACTTTGCCCTTGTGTAGGCCTAGGTCAGATCACCACAGCTGTGTGAGTTCCTGATAGGAAAGTCTGTGTCATGCCTAGAAAATGGTACTTCCTAGCCCTTCTTTCTACTTTCTGATTCTTACATTTTCCCCAGCCCTTCTTCTGCCATGTGCCCTGAGCTTTGCAGGAGGTGGTATCAACATCTTGGTTAGAGTTGAGCCCTCAGCCAGTTGAGTGCCCACTTAGAATATTACATTGACACTTTAAATACATAACTGGAATTTTTCCTTTGAATACACAATCAGATGAAATCAGAACTGAATGATTTATTCAAAGTTGATCCTTGCTTTTAAAGTCTCCTCTTCACTTTCTTTTGTGACAGCTGTGAGGACAGATGTCCTTTACTCACCAGAACATGTGCAAGTAGAAAGCCAACCTGTGGAAAGCACTGCCTCTTTCCAAAGGAGACAAGGGCCCAGGGATTCCACAGCCAAAAGAACCCTTGATTCAACTTCCTCCCAAATTCCCCATCCCAGTCACTTTAAACAGCATGATGCTTTGTCAAGTTGCTGTCACTGTTGCCCACCACCCTTCAGGTGTTAGAAAATTGATTTTACCTAGTGCCACAATAAATCCACATTTCCATGCAACAGCAGCTGGGTAATTTCCTAGTTCACTGACAAATGACTTCTACCTTCAGATGCCTCTGCACACCAGTATTCAGAGAGGAAGAGGTCTGGGGAGCCCATTGTTTTGATGCATGAGAAAGGATTGGCTGCTACAGAGTAAGCAGGTGCCCCATGATTGATTACTCAGACTGGCAAAGTCCAAGTGCAATGCTTATGAATTATTCTGGTTCTTTCTTATGCAGAATTTCATATGTGTGAGCAGCACTAATGTAATTCCTGTTCAGCTTGTACTTTTCAAGTTTACTGAACCACTGCCTGATATTTCACATTTAAATGTATTTAAAGGAAATAAACATCATTACTCAAGCCATAGAAGTTGGTGTTATTTACTATGCTATTCATCTACATTTCATGCTAATGGGAAATATTTTCAAGACAAAAGGGTATCCAGAAATGGGAGTTTTAGGGAATACATAAATAGACTAAAACTAGACCTCATTTTTGGGAAGCCAAGGCAGAGCTCCCAACAGGTTTATCATTCTAAACAAGGGTAACACAGGAATTCTGGGAATCACTCTGTGGTATATGAATAAATTGAACTTGACTGTTATCTTTTTCATGGAAAGCAGCCTAACAATGCTAACATCTCCCCACCACCTGGGATTTAAAAAAATGTGTGTGTGTGTGTGTGTGTGTGTGTGTGTGTGTGTGTGTGTATGTGTGTGTGTGTGTGTTGCTCAAATGTATGAATGTACACCATGTGCATGTTGTGCCCTTGAAGGTCAAAAGAAGGCACCAGATCCCTTGAGATTAGAGTTATATATGCTTGTGAGACACCAAGTAGGTGCCGGGAAATGAACCAAGGTCTTCCGGAAAAATAATCAGTGTTCTTAACTGCTGCTCCTTTCTCTAGCTTCTGCTCTTTGTTTCGTGGCTGCCCAGGAAAAGAGCATGAGGCTTTTTCTTTTTTCTTCTCTGTCCCTAAGGTATCCCTACATATAATGTGTTGGTTGCATAGACTTTACCGAAAATTTGGCTCATCAGAGAGAATTAAATAGCACTAGCAGTATTATCAAACAACTTAACAAATGTATCTCTCTTAATACTGTGCATAGATAAGACAGAGAGACAGACAGACACACACACACACACACTTATTCTATTACAGTAGTTAGCACACAATTGTGTAAATAGCTGTATTCAAATCTGTTCTTCTAGGGTCCTTTCAGGGTTGGAGTATTTCCTGATCAAAATTATGTGACCCAAATTTCTAAGGTCAGACCCTGAAGCAGGACAGTCACAAAGAGAAAGATAATGATAAAGAAATGTAACCCCAGGGTGGAATTGTTGGATCCTGGCCTAAATCCCTGCCCTTCCTCTTCAAATTTACCAAGCAGTTCCCAGGTTCTCCCTTTGTTCGCTTATGTTGTCTGAAGCCTGTGGATTGGAGCCTTCCAATACTATTTAGCTTCCTTTCTAGTCTCCCCCTTTTTTTTTTAATCCTTAACCTAGCTGTGGGCCTGTTGCTGGAGCAGTTCCAAGAAACATCTGCTGATCCCAAAACAATGAATTCTGCAAAAAGAGAAAGAGTGCATTCACAAAGTAGCAAAGAAATGTGGGAGTGTGAGACTGAAATCACAAACTTGCCTTCCAGAGGAGAGAGCTCATGGATATTTATGGGATAAAGAAGTAGGCTGAAAGGTGATCAAAGAGGATGCATTCAATGCTCTATGAATATGCAATTAAACTTCGTAGCTTTCCATGGAACACTTGTTCACAAAATGACAGTTTTAGCAAAACCGGTGATATTAGCAAGATCTGTGGGTGGAGTTTTCTCATACACACCCCACATCAAAAGGTCACACACTTCTGCACAGGCCCAAGGAACTAGTTTGAAGGTACAACAGAAGTAGCCTTTTAATTCCTGAGAAGTGCCTTAGGCAACTGTTATCATCATGATCCACAGGTTCGATAGTCATCTACAGCAGTGGGAGAACAGTAACATCCTGGGTTGTATGGCCTCCAAAATTAGTTATTTTCACGGTCACCCCCCCAAAAAAGGTAGTGTGAGGTCTAAAGTTCTGTTTTAAGTTTAAATTACTATGCTTACAAGATGCATAAAACAAAAATGCCTCTAACCTGTAAGCTTCACTTGCCCAAGGACAGATAGCCTCCTGGAATGCTGGGGGCTATTCCTATAAGATAAAAGGCAGGCGACAAGTTTTTGCTTCAGTACACAAGGTTTGCAGTCCCTACTGTGCATGCGCTTGATCATACATAGGTGGTAGGTGTGTAGACAGGAAGTATGACAGGATGTATCCTTGCTCCTGATGGGACTAAGGTGGGAAGCTTTATGGGGTTTGCCTTTATAAGCACCTGATTAACATGAGTGGGCACTATTTTCTGTGAACCACAGGTATGGACCTGACCAGTGTCCATTGTCCTTGACAGTACTGAATAAAACTTGCTTCAAATTTGGCTCAAAAATTGTGGTAGTGGTGTTATTCTTGCCCATTGGGATTAATAGTAGCTGAGAGCAAGGAATCCAGATTGCTTAATTAGGTTTTTCCCTGGATTTCAGAAGTGGTTTCACTCTGCTGTTGTTATTCTTGCTCTTGACACTTCTTGCTACTGGCACAATCACTCCTCTCCTGTTGCATGCTTGTACTCTCCCTCTTCGACCACAATGCTGATAGCTTCTCCCTCATAATTTTATAGTTTAAATCAATTTTCTGAAAAGGCTCTCACACAACAAGGTTTTGTAAGATGCACTTCACCTTTCAATTCTCTACCTCAGCATTTCATTTACTTCTTCCTACTCTATGCCCCTCCAAGGTATTTGGTGAAGCTCTCCTGATTACTGAGGCAGAAGACAATTGAAGTGTCTTGACAACACACAGGTAAATGAGTCCGTCTGCTCATCCATTTTTAAATGGATTTTTAGATTTTATTTTATGATTGTCTTACGTGCATTTTGGATGTGTAGCTCATGTATGCCTGGTTCACAAGGAGGCAAGAAGAGAGCACCGAGTCTCCAGAAACTGAAGTTAGAGGCAGCTGTTAACTGCCATGTGAGCACCAGCAACTGAACCCTGGGTCCACTGCAACAACAAGTGCTCTTAACCATTGAGCCATCTCTTCAGCCCTTTCACTCATTCCTGACACGAAAGAAAGAAAGAAAGAAAGAAAGAAAGAAAGAAAGAAAGAAAGAAAGGAAAGAAAGAAAAGAAAAAAAGAAAGGAAAGAAAGAAAGAGTCCAAGTCACCAATGAGGAAAAAAGACTCAAGTTTAAGGTTGAGGTCTGTCACCTAATCTCATTGTGAGGTGAAACAACATTAAACTTCAGCTTTCTCATTTCATTTGAGTCATGGGGAAAAAAAAATGAGCATTGTAATATACTTTACCAATCAAAGGGCTTATATGATAGAAGGAGACATTTGGACAAATACTAAAAATTTGGAGTCTCTGAAAGGTTTTTGGCTTTTATTGAATCCTTGAACTTACTACATTTTGGGTAAAAGTGCTCTGGATCCCTAACTGCCATCTCCAGGGGGACATCACTGGAAGCCATAAGAATGGGTCCCAATTAACTTCTGCCTGCCTTGGTCCTTGATAGGCCTACTAACCCTTCCCTCTTCAGTTCCCAACAATCAACAGGAGACTGTGCTTGCCTCCTCATGGCTGGTCAGGATAGAGCTGATCTCAAGAGGTCATGCTTGCCTCCAAATGGCTGGTCAAGGTGGGGCTGGCCCTGGAGGGTCTATGTTAGCTATTTTTCTTTTTCATTGCTGTGACCAAAGAAAAAGCCTTCACAAAAAAGAAAGTTAAAGGAGAAGATGAGGAACCTGCCTGACTCCATTTTGAAGGCAAGAGCCATTAGGCTGCATTGTTAAAAGTAAGTTTCTGTTTCCTGGAACATGACCAGCCCCAACTCATGACCTTGACTTGCTTTGGGGAACACCATAACCTTCCCTAACCCTCTCTAATCACATGGTGGCCACATGGTGATAGCCGTTTGTTTGAGATTTTTCTGTACCTCCTTAAGGCTCCATTCCATTCTATAAAACTGCTTTGCAACTACTTCTGATTTAACTCCTTAAAACCCCTAAGGAACCGTGGTAGTGGTCTTATTCTTGCTTGGTGGGAGTAATACACATTGTGTTTTGACTTATAGTTTCAGGGGACAGTCCATCATGGTGACAAAGTCTCGGCAGCAGGAGCATGAGGCAGTTGGTCACTTCAAGTCTACAGTCAGGAAACAGAGAGAGATGAATGTTCCTGCTCAGCTCCTTTACTCCTGTTAAGTCAATTCATGAGCTGTGCTTTTGAGGTGGTACTGTCAGCATTCGGGGCAGGTCTTCCTGACTCTGGTAAACCTCTCTGAAAACACCCTCAGACACATGCAGGTGATTTCAGATCCAATCAAGTTTACAATTAAGGTTAACGGTCTTAAGGTGGAAGTAGAATAACTTGGTATATTGTTTTTTATTCCCCCCCCCCCGAGTTCACTTATATAAGAATATTTGTTATACTAACAGCCTTAGAAATTCTGAATGCTGAAAATTCTCAACCTGTCAAAGAAAATTCAAATATGATGGGGATCTCCAAGAGCAGAAAGCAAACTGCAGATAACAGCAACACACAATGTTCCTGATTATGTAAGCCACAAGGCCAGAGTGTGCTATAGCACAGATCATAAATCTGTGACCAAAACAGTGTGGTGGAAAGCTCTTTAGAGACTGAAACATATTGGGCAGCATAATGATGAACACTGCACTACTGGCTGAGACACTTGAAAGGCATGGCACAAACAGTCCACTTTAAGGTACTTGAAGCATTTCACAGCACAGTCAAAATTGTGAATTTAATGGAATTCTCATTTTGTGTGAAAACAACACTTTGCAAAAAGTAAACTCTTAATAAAAATTACTTAATAAACAGCAAATCGTTTCACTGATTTTTTGGACACTAAACAAAAATTCTCTAAAAATAATGTCAAGAGTACCTTTATATACTTCGCATAGTTGCGACTCTGTTAGATGACATGAATACTTAGATTATTCCAATGCTGCAACTCTTCATAAAAAAAATTAAGAATTTAGCTCTCAAAATAGTTACCAGATGACAAATATCCCCAAATACTCTAATATTTGATCCTTGTAATAATTTAATAAACAATTAGCCTGTGATAACTTTATCACTGATGCTATTTGTTCTGACCCACTGGTCAGTTTTGGAACCCTGCTTGTTTTGATAGGTGATATTCGATTTGAACACATTATATACTTATTTGCTGATCTGTGGCCTCTGGCTGCTTTTGGTTTCATACCAACAGAATTGATTAATTATAACCAAAACTG